CCAAGGGTTCTAAGGTTCTCTTTCAAGCTGCCTGAACTGATGATGAACCTACCTGGCCTGGGATGGTTGCAGAATAATGGGGTAGATATTTATCTCTGGTTTCCCAGGTCTTCAGATTTAGAAGGAAATTGCACTTGAGGAGATGTAATTAAGGAATTAGATTCAAGTAGCTTCATTTATACTTGGACCTTATCCCTGTCTCCTGGTATTCACATTTTTTTTAGATCTTTATTACGCATTGTGTTGATTGGTCTTTATGAACATCAGAAAGTGGCAAAAGTGATGGGATGACACTTCTGAGGCTGTTATATAACAGTGTAACTAGTACTGCCTAGTTTTCTGGAATACTTGCTCTAGGAAAATCTATGAATCGTGTTGTGAGGACATTCAAACAGCACGGAGGAGCAGCCCTTGTCCAGAGGAACTGAAGTATTGTAGGGCAACCAACCCATTCCGGGTAGGTTTATGAAAGATTCTAGCAGCCACATGCTCATCAACACCGCACTACCACCACACCGCACTCTGCTGCACCACCCTTATAAACCAGTCTCCTAGCTCAGGTGTACCCAACTACGCATGCCCACACCCTATTCCAGGTGCCCGCCATCTGGCATGTACTCAGGACCGCAGGGTTCCGTCATCCATCCTAATGGCAGGAGGGCAGAAAAGCCTGATACTTTTTACCTACCCTACAAGTATCCTTCCACCATCCAGAAAAAAATTTGAGATCTATTGATTTCATGAGAAAATCATCTGGGAAGCAGAACCTCCAGCTTTACCCAGAACCGCAGATAACATCTATCATAACTCAGCTTACAGCCAGACTGCAGCTCCTTGAGAGACCTTAAGCCAAGTTCTTGTATCTCAGTCACTGATGAACTTTGGACCACTGGAAACCACATGAGCTAATAAATGTTTGTTGTTTTAGGCTATGAAATTTAGTGTGATTTGTGTTTTTTTTTTAAAGATTTAATTATTTATTTGTATAAGAACCGGGGTACAGGCCAGATGCGTGGGAGGGTGAAAGGATTCTCCAGAGACAGAGTGGGGAACAGAACAGGCAGACTGACAAAATACACTGCCAAGGGGAGCAGCAGGCGAAACAGGAGAGGTCTGCCTCGCCACGTGGGACCCTTGACAGCCGGCTGGGATCGAACTCGTGCTGCAGAGGCTGCTGACAGCTTTACAGTGTTGTGCTCAACTGCCTGTGCCACCAGGGGAGGCCCTAGTGTGATTTGTTAAGTAACAATAGGTAATGAATACCACGGTGTTTAAAGCTATCGGTCTGGGGAGATCTAGAAAGTGAAGGTAAGAAGAGAAATCTTGTCAAAGAAGTGACCTCTGAGAATTGTCTTTATGTATCAGGAACAGCAGGAAGAAGATGCAGCTGTATGACTTTGGCAAATTACTGGCATTTGTTTTCTCAATTCATCAAATGGAGATAGAACAGCCTGTAGTGATGTGGGTGAAATTAATGAGCTAACACTTGTAATGTGTATGTATAGTGTCTTGTCTGCAACATTATAGGGTCTCAACTGGTATTTCCCTTTTTCCTTGTACCCTACTTGCCATAGTTTTAGGTTTCATTCTCATCAGCAAAATAGGATCTCAGCTGTTCATATAAGCATCTTGATGTGTGTAATAACTTCAAAATTACTTTCAAATTAGGTTGACATGCACTTCCCTTTTATGTTGCTACTTTCCAAGTTTGTTTTCCAAGTTTGGTGAAAGAATCTTCTTAAAACATACATCTTGGGCCTCACTGGTGGTGCAAGGGGCTAATTCACAGCACTATGAAGCTGTCCACAGCCACTGCAGCACAAGTTTGAGCCCCTCCGACCAGGGAGCAAACCACATGGCACAGCAGACCTCTCCTGTCTTGCCCGCTGCTCCTCTCAGCAGTGTACTTCGGTCAATCTGCCTATTCTGTTCCCCACTCTGTCTCTGGTGAATCCTCTCACCCCCCACACCTCTGGCCTTTACCCTAGCTCTTGTATGCATAAAAAAAAATAAATCTTAAAAAAAAAAGCACATCTCTACCTTTAGAAATATTGCTGGGGAAGTGATATAGTAAGAGCTTAGCTACAGAATGATTTAGATTTTACTTCTAGTTTTATTTATATTCATTATTCTTTTGTCTGATAGTTGAGAAAATTATTTTTAATAGTATATTTGTTTCTGGGTAAAATACCCTGTGAATTTTTAAGCAATGAGAATTTAGGAGGTGACTATGCAAAGCAGATGGGTAGAAAATATATTTCCCTGAGAAATTATTTAATGTCACATTTAGAAATACTGTACAGCTGAAATTCTAGTTTAGCCATCAGGCATATGACAATTTTCATCCTTATCTGTCAGCTGGATGCTTCAAAAAGACTTAACAATCTTGCATTTCACAACATACTGGTAATATTAGATTCTTGTTGATGGGAACAGAATGTAGGGGAATTATTTATTTTGTTTGACTCCCTTACAATTTTGGAATAAATGTTCTATAGCTGTTTCTTATATTGTTGTGAAGTAAACATTATGGTCAGATCACCAATTCCATTTTAGATGATGATACTTATATTTTCCAAAAAGTGGGCTCAAAAATGTTTAAACCTCATTTTTTTAAACCCTGCATAGGAAGAGAAATGCAATTTTTTTCAGTGACATTTTGGGTCTTAAAAGGAGAAAGTGTACACCCCTATGAGCATGGTTATTGCTCTGCTAACGTAGATGTTGGAGTTACTTTTCATTCCCCTTTTGATGGTTTTTCTAATTCACTCTCTTCAATTCTACTGGTACATCTGGAAAATAGATTATTCACTTTTTGCTTCCTAAAATAGAAGTTTCATTGTTTAAAAAAAAAAAAAAAAACCTTTAATGAGAGAAGATAATTAGGATCTTTTATATGACCTGGGTCCAGTTCTCTGAAAGCAGACTCTGATATGAAGATTTATGTTCAAGAAGAAGCTTATTAGCGATTACCCATAGAAGTACCCCTAAATGGGAGGGAAATAAGATTGGGCAGACTGAGAGGTTAAACTGTCAGTGTAATAGAGATGGTCCAGTGCTGCATTTGACATTCAAATTGGTCCCAATACCATTTCATTGACTAATCACTGGATGCAGGATGTCCCAAAGAGAGGACTGTAAGCCTGTGAGCCAGTGGAGTGTTGCAATCTATTTGTATTGCCTCAAGAGAGACAGTTGCTAAAGATCCAAGAATTTTGCAAGCTGGTCATTAAACTGTTTCAACCTTGAAATCAGCCATCATGGGAACATTTGCTTCAGGGCTTTGCTTTTGGAGCACCAGTTTTAACGACCACAGGACTACATGTATGTATCCTTGGGCAAAATGGTTTCCTTCAGCAGAATGTAGTGCCCACAGAGGGAGACCACTGCAAGCCATGCACAGGCAATGATCCCAGAAGTCAAGGGAATTAAGTGTCCTATTGATGTAAGAAAAGATTTGGGCAGCACAGGATAACATACCCTGCTATCCACACAATTCTCTTGTTTTCTGTAATAGTACACCTCATCTGAGAAAGATTTCTCCAGAATTTCATGTGGTCTTTTTTCTTGGTTAACTTAGAGGATAAGATTAGTTAGTTGACCTTGGAGCCTTAACACTCATCTTCCTTTCCCTTTGTCACCTTAACTTTTACAAGTTTTTTTTATAGTCCTCCATATGCTTGATTAGTACCTCGGCTGGTCTTGGTGGCAAAACTAATGGAGTGAACTTTATAACTGAGAACTCTTTTTATGCATGACTGCTATATATATCCATTTGCCATCAAAAGTGGGTAATGGAGTGCCAAATGTTTGCCAAATAGATCACCTGAGTATTACATTTATTTATCCCTGTGCCTATAAGCCCCACTATCTACTGATGATCAGGGAAAATTAACCCTGGCAGACTATTGACACCTTTCTTGGCCTCTAATCTCTTGGCACAAAGAGCCAGAAAAAAGTAGGTGGAAGCCTGAAAATAAATTGAATACATAGAGTGAATGGCACTCTACTTATATCTCCTGGTGGAAATCTTTCTCCTCTGAGCACTGCAAGTTCTAGATCCTCAGAGTCTGAGATAGGAATGAAAGTACAAATTTCCTACCTGGGTTATTCTGAGTGACTATTTCTGTACTCTTAGTTCCTAGATTCATATTTTGACCTATTGGAGACCCCACATACTTCTCTATGCAAGCTGGTACCCAGCTGTGCCAAGACAACAACTCTGGGGAACGGTCATATGTAATGTGACTCTATAGTCTAATTGTGTATCCACTGACATATCTCCTTTGCTATATTTGATCTTTGGTCTATTGTGTTGTTATATAGGATTCGGTATTGGGGCACTGGACATTTTAAATATCATTAGACAGTCTTCTAGCTGAGGCCCTGTCAGCAAGGAAGAAAATCCAGACCCAGTATGTATGCTGATTCCAGACGAGATGTTGAGCTATCTTCTGAGGTGGCATGAATCCAATGAGATAAACAGACTCAGACTTCGTAGTGGACAATATCTTATTAAGATGTAGTATTGGTTTGTGGTATGGGAGGTTGGACATTTTCTTTTTAATTGAGAAAAGAATTATATATATACATATTTTTTTCCATTTTTAAATTAAAAAAAATACTTTCTGATAAGTATTTTGGAATTTTACAGTCAAATGCCACAAATAGTTCATCATATAGTAAAAAATTCTGAAAGTTTTTTGATAAATGGGGGAAAAGGAGTTTAAAACAAATGTCGATAAAATAAAATATGACTCATATTTGAGATATGAACACTCTTGAATGGCCAGATTTGGACATTATTGATGGCTCATGGAGAAACTGTACACTTCATGGTCTTTATAGAGGATTGATCCCTGAAAAACTGGAAGAGAGTTTCCTTTGGTAAATGCAAGCATATTTTAATTCAGTAAAATCATGTACTATAATAGTTAAGAGATTATGCTTTGGAGTATAGCAGACCTTGATTGAAATCTAATTTTGCCATTTTCCTGTAGGGACCTTGAATGAGTAATGTAAGACCTCAAAACCTTGATTATTTTCTCTGAACATGGGGAAGACAAACAATCTAATAAGGTAAGTTAAAGGTATCATAAAATATATGTATAACATATATAGTATGGTGCTGACTCATGGCAAATGCTTAAGAAGTAGAAGTCAAATTTTATAGTCATCATCACTATTATCATTTAAAAATTTTACCTGAAAACCAGAAGAATATGTCCACTTACCGTTCAGATGTACAACTGTCTGAATAATTTTGTTTGTTAATAAGTTTTAATGTAGATGAGTGTGGATGTTTTGAATTCCTAAGTAGATACTTACCAGCATCATGTAGATGTACAAAATAAAAAATAAAGACTGCGTAATAAAGCACAAACATCTGAATATTGAGACTATGGAAGATAAAATGTTTATGCTATAAATATTTTATATAAAATTTATTAAAATCAATATAAATACATGAATGAGTTATTTGTCACACCATGAAATGGAGAACACAACATTAAAATGTGAATTGTTAAAATAACTGGAGGGTGACTGCCGAATCACAAGAAAATATATTTTCTATTTATTTCTCCCAATCCATCATACATTCAAACTATTGCTAAAAACTTATTATCAAAAGGAGGCCCCCATATATTATCAGCAGAAATTAAAGAAAGGCTCTAATGGGCCATTTTCTTTCTTTAGTTTATTACTGTGTATTTCTTAGTAAAATGTGGATATTTACTTTTGTGTTCCTACTTGAGAGAATGCTTTGAAAATTATTGGATTTACATGGTGATATAGGAGAAAACCTATAATATAGGATGAAAGCTTAAACAAAGCATCTAACCCACAGGTCTTCCTAAACTATTCTCCCTAATCTCCACATATAATTAAAGGGAAAATCACTAGATGTATTATACAAAGTCTTTAAACATTTTTCCTATAAATCTCCATGTGTGTGTAACTGTATATATGTACATCTCTACACACGCTTTGTTATATTGATATGGTTAGATGCTTTGTTTATATTTTCATATTATAATAAAGATTTTAATTGGGAGATTTCCTCCTATATCTGTGATGTAACCCCAGTGACTTTCAAAGCATCATCTCAAAATGGGAGCACAAAATTAAACACCCATGGTTTACATTTTGCTAAAAAAACCCCACAATAATATATATGTATATATGTCATAGATAAAATTAAAGGATAACTTTAACCCGCAGTTAAAGGCCTCTAATTTGTCAGAAACTAAATAGAGGAGATTCTTAAAGAATCTTGGTATGAGAAACAAGAACTAAAAGGGCAGGTAGAAGAGCAACAATTGAAATCCATCCTGGCACAGTTGATATATAACACTGAAAGTCCGTATTTGGGGTAGTTCTTACTGCATGCTCAGCAGCAGGAAGCAGTTCTAGGGTGGGGAATTTCTCTCGTGCCGTGGCAGCAATCATCCAGAAGAAATGCTGTGTTCCTGGGTAAGCAAAAAGGTCATGTAAAGAAAGCATCTCAGTTCATGACTTCCAACCAGAAAAACAGCACAGGGAAACACGTTAGCTGGGTTGTCCCTATTGCCTGTACCCTTAACATAGCTTCTGGACCTCAGAAATCACCAAATAAGTTTGCATTCTCTAGCTATTGAGCTTAAGGTCTGATGAAAGGATATGATCAGAAACCACACAGTACTGAGAAAGAAAATTAAGGAAATGAATCCATCCAATTTATGAACAAATACCTAGATAATCCAGACAGATATCCCCTCACTCAGAGTGATCATATAAACAACAACTTGCATACGACACATAGAAACTTTTAAATCAATAAGGAAGAAGAAACATATAGCCAGTAATATTCAAGAGAATATATATATAGGGCCTCCCCAGTGGCGCAGCAGGTTCAGCGCCCCTCTGTGAAGCTGTCCGCAGGCTCTGCAGCGCGGGTTCGATTCCTGGTTGGCCAGGGAGATGCCCACATTGGGGGATAGACCTCTCCTGTCTCGCCTGCTGCTCCCCTCAGCAGTGTTTTTGGTCCGTCTGCCTGTTCTGCTCCCCACTGTCTCTGGTGAATCATCTCACCCTCCCACGCCTCTGGCCTGTACCCCAGCAATTGTATAAATAAAATAAAAATCTTTAAAAAAAAAAAAGAATACATACAGGTATATTCATGTCTATTCCCATATTCAGTCTGTATTTACATGTATATTTTCATGTCTATATGTACCTATGTGTATCAACATATCTATTTTTAAAATTTGCTGCATATAGATTTTTGTGTGCTGATGAGATTTCTCAAACTAGACTTTAATAAAAAATGGAATGTAGGGCCTCCCCAGTGGCGCAGCGGTTGAGCGCTGGGTTGCGAAGCTGCCCACAGCCTCTACAGTGCCGGTTCAATCCCCGGCTGCTCCCAGGCCACCAGAGGAGGGTCCCACATGGTGCGCAGACCTCCCCTGCCTCCTGCTGCTCCCCTCAGCAGTGTATTTCGGTCCTTCTGCCTGCTCTGCTTCCCGCTCTGGCTCTGGTGAATTCTCTCACCCTCCCGCGCTTCTGACTGTACCCAGTGCTTGTATAAATAAATAAATAAATCTTTAAAAAAAATTGGAATGTAACAATTTTAAGATGATTTAAAAAAGGTAGAGACAAGATACTCCTGGGTGACATCCCAATAGGATCTGTTCTTACAGAAGGCAGGCAGTGATCTCACAAGAGGGAAGCAGCATCATGCACATTTCTTGCACATGTGTGTATAAACATATAGAAAGCACTACCATTCATTGCCCAGGTCAGTCACTTGTGATTGCCTATAAACTGTAAGGACATATCTTAACCCTGTTACCTCCGTGACATTGCTCCTTGTCATGGACGAAACATATTTTATTTAGGACAAGAAATATCTTCACCACAGGGATTTTTGCAGTTAGGACTTTCCTTGCAGAGATGCAAGAAAGTATTGCTCCTGACAACTGGAGCTAGTACAATTCTTAGTTCCCATCTGAAAAACAGTCAAGAAAGGTCAAGTAGCCAAACCTGTTAGTCCTTATGCACAGCTGTGTCCACCATGTATGGATTTTTTCAAAGCAAAATATAAAAGTGGTCAATGCTTTTAAAGCAGAGTTGGCAAACTTTTAGGTAAAAAGCCGGATAGTCAATATTTTAGACATTTTTGGCTGTATGGATCATGTCATTCTGATTAACTTTGCCACTGTAGGTTATAGCTATCACAATTGATATACAATGAATGAAAATCTGTGTGTGACAAAAACAGGCAACAATTCAGATCTGTCCTTTGGGCCATAGTTAGCCAACCTTGATTTAGTGTGTATATGTCAGTACCATAAGGTGCTGACAACAACAAAAAGTCGTAATTTTGTGTGAAACTGTAGCTTTTTTTTTTTTTATTGAGGCAAATGGAGGAAAAGTTAGATGATTAAAGAAAAAACTATTATTATACAATAGTGGCATTAACTTTTCTGTAGACTCATTTCAGAACTGACACTTCAGGGAAACCAGTTATGTTCCAACAGGAAAGTCAACTAAGGTTTCCTGAAAACACAGAGAAAATGGGCAAAATAGTAAGTATTTGTCTTGAGTGTACAATTGAGGCTTATGTTGTGAGGGGTATATATGTGTGTGCATGTGTGCATGTGTATGTGTGTTGATATATTGGTGTCGTGGGCTGCTAGAGTAGTTGCTTGCAATTGAAAGTGTGTTTTTCTGTTGTTTTAATCCTGAGGTTGGAAAAAGTGTGAACTATAGAAATAAAGAATAATAAAATGAACCATGCTCATCATAGATGGTGGAGGATGCTGTGGTACACTATACAGATGTGCCTGCAGAACCCAGGCAAAGCACACATCCAACAGCTGGAAGTGGTAGCAGCTGAAGGCTCAGAACTGTGCCTTGTTCCGGGAATCTCTGTAGAGTGTCTCAGCCCCAGAGCCCCTCATGGAATCAGGTAGTGCCCCTGTGGGACTGATATTCAGTTCAGGATTCAGTTTTTCTCTCTACCCAAGCCTTACTCACTCATTTTAAAAATTATTTTCAAATATCCTTGCAGGGTAAGTACAGTATCAGGCTTTTCCGCTCTCCTGCCATTAGATTAAATGTGTGCCTGATGGCGGACACCTGGAGTAGGGTGTGGGCATGCGTAGGTGTGTACACCTGGGCTGAGAGACTGGGCTTATGAGGGCAGTGTCAGGGAGACGCCAGCAGAGCAAAAGAGAATGAGAGCAGGGCCTCCCTGGTGGCGCAAAGGGTTAAGCACCACACTATGAAGCAATCCCACAGCCCCTGCAGCAGGAGGTCAATCCCCCACCAGTCAGGGAGCAACCCCATGGCGCAGCAGACCTCTCCTGACTCACCTGCTGCTCCCCTCAGCAGTGTATTTCAGTCAGTCTGCCTGTTCTTATCCCTGCTCTGTCTCTGGTAAAGGCTCTCACCACCCCGCACCCCCCACCAGCCCACCCCCTGCATCTCTGGCCTGTGCCCCAGCTCTTGTATGCATAAATAAATAAATCTTAAAAAAAGAGAGAGAGAGAGAATGAGAGCATCACCAGCAGAGAAGCAGAGGCCATGAGAGAACGCCAGAGAACACAGTAAGAGCTTGCGGGGGGCCTGGGAGGCCTGCCAGTCTCCTGGCCTCCCAGCACTCCTGCCTGCAAAATAGTTCATAAAATGTAAACTAGCCTTAAAATGTCACTGAAGGCTCCAGGACTCTCCTTTACTCTCCTTACCCATCTGCTTGGATCATAGAGAACCAGCGCTGTGCCTTCCTGCCTCTACAATCCACAAAGACCATCTCAAATTCTGTTTACAGGCAACTGGACCTAAGACAACCATCACCCAATTTTATAAATTAGCATTATTTCTTATTTCTGGTATGACATTTATTTTCACTAAGGAATAAAATATTATAGACACAATTAAAAACCCTTTGATTATCTCTAGAGACAGCTGTGATCTCTTTTTTAGTGTTTATAATTCCTGTATTTATATTTTACTATTTAGGAATCCATAAATATTATATGGTGATTTCTGTAAGTATTTAAACTCTATATATGGTACCATAGAATACATTCTGCTGCTTGATTCTTAATTGTACACAAAATTGTTTTTGAAATTTTATTCATTGACATAAGTAGCTCATAATAATCACATAATTTCAAACAAATATGTCAAAACATTGATAGCTGATAAATTTCAAATGAAAGCACAGGCATACCTGTTATATCATTTCCTGTACATTTACTTATATTCAGTGCTTTGCAATTAAAGATTTTTAAAAAGTGGCCTCGTTTAATTCAAAGAAATATAATAATAAAGAAAACTATTGTGTCCTTCCTCCACTCTCATCTGGTCAGTAAAGCAGACATTGTATTGTTCAAAAGCCTTTCACATTGTTACTCAAATTTACCTTTCTAGCTCCTTCAGCAACTGCAGGCTACTGGCTTGGTCTCATGTTCTGCTCCATTATTAGTTTCAAAGATGTGCTCCACAGCAGGGTAGTCCTGAAAAATGTTGAATAAAAAAAGGTATCATTTTGTCAAATAGTACTGCAAGCTACAGGCCTCTTGAATGTACACTTGCTTTCCCATATTAAGAGTAGTTTGAAAGAAATTCTGCAGAAAATAAACCAAATTCAATTTTTAACTGATATTTTCCTATCTTGTTTTTTCATTAAATCCTTTGCTAATAAATTGCACAGTACAAAGAACCAGTATAATGTAGACATGCCCCACAATCACAACTGTAGTTATATTTTGTCTGTTTCAATGTCCTCTCCCAATTTTCAATCAATTATGATGTCCACATGCTTTCCTTTTTGTTGCCCATGTTGCATATATCTTTCTGTCCACCTAATACAATGCTTCTTGTCCTTCTTAAGTAATTTAAAAGTCGGGCCTCCCTGGTGGCACAGGCAGTTGAGCGCTTCACTGTGAAGCTGTCTGCAGCCTCTGCAGCATGGGTTCAATCCTGGCCAGCTGGTGAGAATCCCACATGGCACAGCAGACCTCACCTGTCTCACCCGCTGCTCCCGTCAGCAGTGTATTTCTTCAGTCTGCCTGTTCTGTTCCCAGCTCTGTCTCTGGTGAATCCTCTCACCTTCCCACGCATCTGGACCGTACCCCGGTTCTTGTATAAAAATAAATACATCTTTAAAAAAAAGTAATTTAAAAGTCATCTGCACTCTGTGGCCCACCCAAAGCACTTCCTCATCCACTAAAGAAAACCCTTAATTAATTAGAATTTCAGCTTCTTGAAGGTTGGGTCAGTATTTGTCTTATTCACTCTTGCTGATGATGTCCTGACATAGATGGAATTCACAAAGTGTATGTTGAATGACTAGATGGACAGATGGGTGGAGAGATGGGTAAATATGTGTTCTCATAGGAGTAATACACACTTATTATGTTAAAATAATTTGTTTATACATCTATTCCAACAGACATGTTTCTCAATGGAAGGAATTGTGACTGATTCATGATTGCATCTGGAATGCTTAACACGATGTAACAGATGTTCAAGAAGTGATATTTGAAATTCTGAGGGAGAAAATGTAGAAGGAACTTTAAAAAATTGATACTGAAGTCAAATTTGAAACATTCTCCTAAAATATAATGGAGGAGAAAAAGAATCAGGTAAGAAAAGTTAGTCTATTTTAAAGTAAATATATATATATATATATTATCTTTAACTCTATATAATTTTCTTCCTGTCCCATTGCATTCATTTCTATATTGTGACTTTTAAAGGGAAGTTAATCAGAGTCCATGTGACAAGTCTCAACAGAAATTTTGTGAAAAACACTGAGTTTGTACAGTTTATAAACAGTTTGCAGGGTTTTTAACATGCTTACATAGCACTGGGGTTACACTCCCTTGTAGTCAGGGGTGGGTGACTTCTTTCAGGGAAATGAACATCCCACAGTCCGACAAGTAGGTTTAGAAATTTTATCATTAGCTGAACTGCTGGTGTTCAGATTGGTGTTATTCTTGTTTGCTGATTCTGATTAAATCTGTCTTGGTTAAAACATTCTCTTTGATCACCTCAATTCATCATGTTTGATAATTCTTCTTATCCAGCTCTTCCATCCATCATCTTTTTTTTTAAAGATTTATTTATTTATGCATACAAGAACTAGGGTACAGGTCAGAGGTGTGGGGGGTGAGAGGATTCACCAGAGACAGAGTGGGGAACAGAACAGGTGGATTGACTGAAATACACTGCTGAGGGGAGCAGTGGGTGAGACAGGAGAGGTCTGCTGCACCAGTGGGTCAGCTCCCTGACCGGGGATCAAACTCATGTTTCAGTGGCTGTGGATAGTTTCATAGTCAGTGTCTTAACCCTTTGTGCTACCAGGGAGGCCCTCCATCCATCACATTTAAACCTCAAACTTAGTATCTATGTGTGGCAAACATATACTTTTATATGTTCAATATTTTCATAGAATTGTCCTCTAACTTCATGCCTTTAGAAAAGATCTCCCATGAAGGTGCCACTAATTTCCTGCTCTCAAATAGATCACCTGTCTATGTCACCCCTGAAATGACTCAGAGTAGAGAAGTAAGTGTGGCATCTTCACTTACTGTGCCATTTTCCTGGATCACTTCTTCCTTCACACTGTGTGATTCTTTTTTTTCCTTTCAATATTGATAAATTCAAAATGCAGTTTACCTTGGCCTGCCTTATAGCCTCCTCCCCTGTTGTGTGATTCTTTCTACTGCTGGAGTTTCATGCCAGTCCATGAGAGCAGTGACTCCATTGCAGCCATCTATTACTCCTGTCTGCTTCCCTTAGTCTTTTTCTGCTCCATTCCTGCTCATCCCCAGAGGCTGTAGTAGGCTCTGTTACAGTGCACTCTCATAGAACCCTATTTTTTTTTTTTCAAGAGCAATCTGTATGTGATTCTATTGGTGTATATTCCTTAATAGACTATGACTCCCTGAGAGTAATTATTACATTTCATTATTTTTTAAAATTTACTTAAGAACCAGGGTACAGGCTAGAGGTGTAGGGGATGAGAGGACTCACTAGAGACAGAGTGGGAAACAGAATAGGCAGATTGAATGAAATACACTGCTGATGGGAGCAGCGGGTCAGTAGAGGTCTGCTGCGCCATGTGGGTCACCTCCCTGGCTGGGGATAGCTTCATAGGTGTGTCTTAACCCCTTGAGCCACCAGGGAGCCCCTTCATTTTATTTCATTATTGCACCTGAGTGTTTGGCACAATGTCTTCCCTCAAGTTTTGCTCTAGTAAGCATTTGTTGAAGAATTGCATTATTTAAAGGGTAAACAAGATCTAAGATTTCATCCCAAATATACCATTAATGTGGCCATTTTTCACCAATGATCCTCAGGTTTCCATAAAACACTTATTACCACTGGCTTCTGTAATTGTTGGGCTTGGGCCCATTAATATTTCTCAGACAGCTCATCATAGTATATGACTTATTTTAAACTAATTTCCTGGTTCTTGGTTCAAGTTCTATGCTCTATGTAAGGTAAATTATCAGTATTCAGAAGGTAGTTTAAGGGAGAATAATTAGATATATAATGATTAATTTAGTTTAGAGAGAACATAGAGCCAAGAAATCTGGAAACTTTATACTGTCCCTGACCACTGTGAGACCTTAGAATTACTATCTAATAACACTAAAATCTGGTAGATCATCTCATCACACTAGTATTTAAGGATCTATTAAACCATCAATGCACATGTCACTTTACCTTAAATTTGTACTTATGGTATGTTTCTAACTTGGTGCTGAACAATCAACAAAGATGGTCCCCATATTAACAAATTCGATTAAGACTGGTATCTTCCTCAGTCTTGCTGCTCATGTGACTTCTTCCTAAATTCACCCAACTTACAGCATCATCCACATTACTTTCTATAAACTTCACACTCCTACTCCCAATTTGCCACTGCTCTGTTCCCCACATATGCTTTAAAAAAACTAATTTTTTTAAAGATTTATTTATGCATACAAGAACTGGGGTACAGGTCAGAGGTGGAGTGGTGGTGAGAGGATTCACCAGAGACAGAGTGGGGAACAGAACAGGCAGACTGACTGAAATATACTGCTGAGGGGAGCAGAGGGCAAGGCAGGAGAGGTCTGCTGTGCTATGTGAGTATCTCCCTGGTCGGGGATGGAACTTGTGCTGCAGTGGTTGCGGATAGCTTCATAGGTTGCATCTTAACCCCTTGCACCACCAGGGAGACCCTCCCACCCCCACATATGCTTTTTTAATGTTGAGTACTTTCCACAATTCACCAGAGTCCATATCAAAATATACTGTGATTATCAACCCACTGACACATCCCTTCTCCCAATGGCCTTAATTCTGATGACTCAGGCATTGACTCTTATTTGTAATTTTTTCCTCAATGTTGTGAATCAACTTAACCAAATTAAGTTAAATCAAACACTCCTAACCTGAAGCTATTCAAATAAAAAAAAATTAAAAACATAAGAAGACTGATTTACTCTATAATCCTGTCACCCTAGATGAGATATATATAATATCAGCATTTGCCCCTCTAAGGAAATAGCAGTTATTGCTTCAGTGTTCTTGACCTATCCCTGACCGCATTAAGTCTATCTAGTCATTTGTCTTGGAGAAAATTAAAATTTCAATTTCCTTCACAAAGAAAAGTTTTCACACCCATCTTCACATTTGCACCTTTTTATGTGCAGCTCCCTAGCTGGATGCTGCCCTTTTGCATTGCCCTCCTCCATTCTGCAGGATGGAGCTGGTGGTTTCTATTGTGTGGCCCATGATATAGATCCCCTTGCTATTCCTCTGCAATATCTGTCTTTATTTTCCAACTCTGGTACACAGAATCTAGAGTCTCTTAAGCTGAGTTCCTTCATGTTCCTCTAAAGAGGGCATGTGTAAGTGGACACCTCATTTGTTGTTGATTGATGAAAATATTTTGTTTACAATGTTATTGTCTATAGTACACATTTTACGCTCTACACAGAATTTGACAATGCATAAGATTGTGGTGTGTATCACTTTACACTTGTCACATGAGAAAACAGCATATTTACTGAGAAACCATTATAGATAATGAAATTGTCCCTTTGTACTCCCTGAGTTACAGATTGTATTACCCTCAATCCCTTCCTGAATTATTTGACTTTTGCTTTTTACGTTCAGATGGATCCTTCTCGATAACTCAACTGACACAAACATATATTCACTTTCTTTTCTACCCCCACATTTCTACCTAGGCATTTTTCTGTAAATTTCTTCTCTGAACAATTTGTTCTTTGATTCCCAGAATACCAACACAGTATTGTTTCAGAGCTGGCTAGGATCTAAACATGTACCACTTATATTCTTAAAAGGTATCATTTATGAAAGAAGGGGTTAGACCATTGTCAGGGGAAAGCAACTCCGATTTCAATGCCAAATATTTGACTATATTTAGGCATTCTATAGAACTCATATGATGAAAATAGCATCTAGAGATGTTGGTATTTTTAAAAGTCTGTTTGATAAAAATGTACCTGTAAGTCATAAAAGCAGCAATCCAAAAGTGAAAAATTCTAATTAAGATTTTGAAGATTTTTGGAGTATAGTAAGTTTTAAACATTGCACCCCAACAAAGGGAGTAAGATAAGCACTTTTATATGTAGTCACATTAATTTGACCTCAGATAAGGTTTTTAATTTTGGATCTCAAATTAATTAATTACCTGACCTTAGGAAAGGAATTTAACTTCTTCATCCTGTAATATAAGGAGTGTTTAGTCTGTGAAAAGTGTAATAATAGAGTCAGTGTGGCTATTAAATAAAACATTCTGTGAAGGAATTTAGCAGAGTAGTTAGCACATGTCAGGTAATCAATCATCATTAGCTTTCTATAGCACATTAACTGCTAAAAGAAAATCCTTAAGTGCATTTCTTAAAGGGCTAGGGAGAGAATCATTTTAAATAGTAAAATAAGTATGTAGAAAATATAAGCAGAGATAAATGCATTTTTGAAAATGATACCTATAGATGAAGCACATTTTTAAAAAAAGTATAAAGGGAGATGAATTTACAATTCTGTAAGGGCAAGACAGGCCACTGAGCAGGTTTTCTGATCCAGCAGATGGGGTAAAGGAGAGGAGAGTCCTGGAGCCCTCAGTGGCTTTTCAGACTTTTATTGGGATTTACCAGGTACAGGGCAGGCAGAAGTGCTGGGGGGCAGGGAGGCTGGCAGGCCTTCCAGCCCCCAGCAAGTCTTTACTCTTTCTGGGCTCTCTGGCATTCTCTCGCTTTTTCTCTGCTTCTCTGCTTCTACTCATGGTTCTTCCGTTTGTTCTGCTGGTGTCCCCATGACGCTGCCCTTATAAGTTCAGTCTCTCAGCCCAGGTGTACCCACTTAGGCATGCCCACACCCTACCCCAAGTGCCCGCCATCAGGCATTCATTCAGGACCGCATGGATCCCTCATCAAACCTAATGGCGGGAGGGCAGAAAAGCCTGATATATCTTACTTTACCCTATAAATTCTTCCCACAGAGCAATCATCTATTCAGAACAATGGGGTGATAGAAAGAAGACATGGAGTTAGAAAGACACTGGCAATTTATTTCCACAATCAGGAACTGAGATTCCTGATTACTTACTGATTCACACTTACTT